AAAACAACTGGACTGAATCAGGCAACACTGCCAGATCTTCTTCCTCCGCCTTCTATCCCCAATGGAGCATAGGCCCTCAACCGACTCACGCCAATTTGTCCTATCCATTGCTATCGCATGCAGCTCACCAATGTACTCCCTATCTTTTTAACTTCAATCTCTAGTTCCCACGCGACCATGTCGCCCATTGGCTCGCCGGTGGACGACTTTGTCGCCGGTCGGAACAGTATTTGGGTCTGTCTCCTGTGATCGCATCAACACTGCAGGAGTTCTTTTTAGGGCTCTTGGTTGCAAGCATTACTAAAACATTTTATATGGCACACATAACCTAGTCACACTTATAACCTAAAGCTCCCCCTTTCGGGGATGCTGGTTAAACGTGACGATTTAAAAAAAGATTTTTGTTTTGGTAAGCACTTGCCAACCTCTAGTTCCCTTCTTCGTGTTTTTTGTTTTCAAAAATCCACCCTTTTTTCTCTACCCTTGTGTGTGCCAATTTAAAGCCCTGCTAGTTATGTTAGGTTTTGTATAATTTATGGACTCTAGAGGAATATTTCCCAAACTGTTCTTAGACGCGGCGCCTTTTTTCAATTAAATTTTTTTTTTCCACGGCGTCGCAACCTTAGTAAAAGTATGAATATTCATATTATTTCGCGGCGCCCCTGTCAAGAGGTCGCGGCGCACAGTTTGGGAATCACTGCTCTAGAGTCTTTGTGCAAAGACTTCAGACATTCTTCAGACTTCAGACATTCCCCCCCCCCCCCCCCAACCCCTCCACCAGTGGAGCATAGGCACTCAACCAGCACACACAAAGTGCCAAATCCTTTGCTTCCGATACAATTCATGGTTCTTTTGTGTGTGTGATTTTGTTATGGTTAACCTTTATTTCTATCCCCTTGTGGTTTCCAGCCTGAAATCCTTCTAGCTATATTCTTTTTATATAATTTATGTACTCTGGAGCCGTTATGCGAGCAGGGGTCAGACATATGTGTTGTATAATTTATGTACTTCAAGTTTAACTCTCTCTCTCTCCTTCTACAGTCTCTTGATGGATTCGCCTTCATTCTGGCCAGTGATGGAAGGCTTCTCTACATATCTGAGACAGTATCCATCTATTTAGGCTTGTCGCAGGTAAGCAAGAAGGCAGCTGGGTAACACCTCACGCTAGTCCCTATGTCAGCAAATTTCCAGTTATTTTTGGTGTATTTTTTTTATAAAATATAACACACACACACACACACACACACACACACACACACACACACACACACACACACACGCACTGACATCTTAAAAGATCTGAACATCAATTAAGAATGGCTAATGAACAGCATCCTGTCTCGGAAGCTGAAATATTTTGGTCATTTCAAGCGCACGACAGATTGGAAGAAAATTATAGTAGAAGGCATGATACCAGGAAGGAGGGGCAGGGGCCGACCAACACGAAGATAGGCACAGGATATAAGTGACTCCTTGAGTATGAAAGTACATGAGGCGGGAGAGCTGGCGAGAGACCGAGTTTCTTTCAGGCAGACCGTGATGAGAGCGACGTTCTGCAAAGGACTTGCTACGTGATGATAATGATGATATGTTTATATTTTATTTGTTCATTATTATAAATTATGTATTGGATGTTTATGTTTAATTAGCAATCGACATCACAGTACTCAAGACATTTTCGTAAGCGCTCTGTCCCCATCTTCAGCAGCAATCGAAGAGTTTCGATTCCGATGGTACGAGAAAGAGTCTGACTGTATATCCGTTTCACGGTTCCCTCGAGACTTTGTTTTGTTATAACAGATGATTTAAGTAATGGATATACACAAATTCATTGCAAAATTAATTGTCTGGAACATTCCGTTGTATTTTATGTGAATACATTACTGGACTGTTTCCCTATACCGGTTTCGGGACCCATTCTAGGGGCATACAATAGGCCCCCTGACCCCTAGCAAGCATGTCGTAAAGCATACATAAATTGCACCTGTAAGGTCAAAATGCGCTGATTTTTCAGCTTAGCTGTAAACCACAAAACAAGGCGGAAACCATCTTTAGGGCTCATCATCGCTATCATCATCGTCATTATAATCATCCTCATCATTAACATCACCGTCTTCATCATCATCATCATCACAACCATCATCATCATCATCACAACCATCATCATCATCACAACCATCATCATCACAACCATCATCATCATCACAACCATCATCATCATCACAACTATCATCATCATCACAACCATCATCATCATCAAACCATCATCATCACAACCATCATCATCACAACCATCATCATCATCACAACCATCATCATCATCATCGTCACAACCATCATCATCATCATCATCATCTTCATCAACCTGATCATCAACATCATAATATCATCATCGTCCTCATCATCATCCTCCTCATCATTATCGTCCTTATCGTCATCATCCCTCCTGCTGCTAAAAGCCGTGGGGAAGCAATACTTCTTTGTCCAGCTCTCGATTGATGCCCTACCCGCCAAATAATCTGGAGTCCATTAAGTCCTGTGCGCTACTGCGTGGCTTAGAAATAATGTAAAGGTCCCTTTTCCACCCCTTTAGGCGTATAGGGCATATAGAGATAGACCAATTGGCACAAGATGGGCGATAAGGTCAGCATTACGCTGGCCGCCTTTACTTCCCGGCACTACAGCCAGTACCCACTCAAGGCTGGGTCGTCTTGGAAGTTAACGTCCTTTCTGGAAAAAAAAGCAAGCTCCACCAGGGATCAAACCCACGACCTTCCTATCCACACGCGAGCGTTTAGCCTCGGCGACTCCGGTACCAAAACTTTTTACAATTCCTAATGTATAAGGACTTGATCCCGACGTTATAAAAAGCCCGTTCTCGTGTGTCTCGTAGCGCTGCACTGGAGCCACATCATGGAAAGTATTTTCTCCTTCGCTAATGACTTCAGGGATTTCCCCCAAGCTGTTTCTGATGGCAGAGACGGAGCACCTGTGTAGGGTGTCCGGAGATGCTTTCTGCTGGACAATTTCATTAAGCTGTATTTAAATGACCTTGGTCAAGATAATTCACTTCTGCAGTTGTTGATTGATGACCGCAGCGGTGTCACGTCGTGAGATATGAAGTGGCTAAATTGCTATATTGGAAAATGGCGGCCGTCCTGCATTCGCACTATCATAAATGCAGCATGGGGGTTGTGTGTCCAGTGGCGGTGTTTCCGCGTGCGGCGAAGTGTGCAAATATATGGGGGATGTATTTAGTGTCATGGAATTAGTCAGGGGCTGCGGAAACAGGAAGAAAGAGAGAGAGAGAGAAAGAAAGAGAGAGAAAGAGAGAAAGAGAAAGAGAGAAAGAGAGAGAGAGAAAGAGAGAGAGAGACAAAGAAAGAGAGAGAAAGAGAGAGAGAGACAAAGAAAGAGAGAGAGAGAAAGAGAGAGAGAGAGAGAAAGAGAGAAAGAGAAAGAGAGAAAGAGAGAGAGAGAGAGAAAGAGAGAGAGAGAGAGAGACAGAGAGAGAGAGACAGAAAGAGAGAGACAGACAGAAAAGGGGGGGGGGGAGACTTCAGGTACCTTGAGGCTCCCTCAATTACTGCTTAGGGTTGGGGTGAGCCCATAGTTCCCTGCCCCCTAGATAATTTGCAGGGAGGCTAAGTGGCACCCAGCATCCGTCGTACCCTCGTAGGACGTAATTTTTCGTTATTTTTAAGCCCCCCCCCCCTCACCCCCACCCCTATCCTGGCTTTTGCCGGGGGCCGTAATATAGCCTAACGGTTGAACGCGTTTTCTGGGACCTCTCCACGGGTGATCCTCATCCGCATGGTGGCACTTTGTGTCACCGTGTGTTTATCACTCTGTGTGATGTCCTGGTGGATTAAATTGTACTTACTTACTAGTTGCACCCATTGTTACTTGTTACTTGGTGTCATTATCGACATACCAGCACATCTGTCCAACCACTTCGTGCTCTGTCTTTCCTCCGATTCAGTAGCTAACATCATGCTCCCTGCTCAAAGTACCGGTATTCCCCGTACTCACCTGACTTAACCGTAAGTGATTTCCACCAGTTTGGACAACTCAAAGAGTCATTGGGAGGGCAAACTTTTCGGTATTATGAAGATCTGCAGCAGGTGGCACACGCAACCTGCAAGATTTCCTACAGGAATCCTCGCACTTTATCATCGCTGGAGGACTGTCCTTGAACGCACGGGGTGACTTGGTCGAAAAATAATACATTTGTTCTGTACTTTTTCAGAATACATTCACCAGAAATGTTCTCTAGATGCCTCTTTGGATGTATCAGGGCTATTCAAATGAGTTTACTCATGGGCCAGAATGCTCAAAATGAGGATTGTCACGGGCCAGAGGCCGAGTCCCAGCAGAGAAAGATCCTTAAGACAAAAAAAAAAAAAAAAACTGGCAATGATCCGCGGGCCTATTGCTAGGCCTTCGCAGGCCAGATTTGGCACGCTGGTCGCCAGTTGAATAGTTGTTATCATATCATCGTATTTCCCGTCCTTTTTAGGATGAAATTTTTCGTTATTTTGAAGCCCCACTCTGGCTTTTGCCAGGGGCCGCAATATAGACTGGCAATAAATATGGCCTAAAGTCTGAACGCGGTTTCTTGGACCTCTCCACGGGTGATCCTCACCCACATAGTGGCACATTGTGTCATCGGGTGTTTATCGCTTGTGTGATGTCCTGGTGGGGTAGAAAGTCAGTCAGTCAGTCAGTTGAATAGTCCTGGTATATATAATGAATTAATCAAGTAACAGAAAGTATTGTGAACGGCACTCATAGAAAGAAGTAGAAAGATAGAAGAACACACTAGACAACATAAAATCGAAAGTTACCGTTATTGAAACCTGTCACCTCCAGACGGCGTCTGCGCCTCGCCATGAATACAAGTGCACTAAGATACATGGTCAACTAGGCACCCCCGAAAAAAGGTGTCTCATTGGCCATGTCTATCGTTATGGTATATATAACGTATGATTGTGTTACAGGTAGAGATGACAGGGTCAAGTATGTTTGATTATGTCCATCACCACGACCATGCGGAGCTCATCGAGCAGCTCGGGATGTCCTTAGTGTCACGTGAGTATACAGTCTGGTCTCCGTCCTTCACGCCGTCCCAAACTGTGTTTCTATCTCTTTCTACCCTTCTCTTCCCCTCTATGAAACTCAGTATCTCTCTCTCTCTCTCTCTCTCTCTCTCTCTCTCTCTCTCTCTCTCTCTCTCTCTCTCTCTCTCTGTGTGTGTGTGTGTGTGTGTGCACCTATTTGATCTTTCCGCTTTCTGTATGTCTTTCTGTCTTTCCTTAATTATCATCGTGTCTAATCAATGCCTCTCTATTACTCTTTCTCCCTTATGTATTCTCTACCTTTTCATCTGTGATTGTGCATCTCTGTTCTATTTCTCTCTCTCCCCTCTCTCACGCAATGTCTATATTTTTTTCGCCATATCTAGCTTTAAGTTTATCTCCTCTCTCTCTCTCTCTCTCTCTCTCTCTCTCTCTCTCTCTCTCTCTCCCTCTCTCTCTCTCTCTCTGTGTGTGTATCTTACCACTTAGACTGTTCATTTCTTCTCTCGCTCTCTTTCTCCAACCCTCCCTCTCTTTCTCACTCTCCACCTGGCCATTCTTATCTCAGCTGACTCACTTTTTTAACGGATGTTGATGTGTTTGATGATGGGTGATTGGTGACGATATGTATTTTGTTTTATATTATATATTTAGGTTACCTAATGGTTTCGGGTCACAACAAGCCAGACCACAAGTCTTTTTGTCTACGGATGAAGTCGACGCTCACAAAACGAGGAGTGCATATCAAAACCTCTGGCTATAGAGTAAGTGGGAATCCAGTAGCATAGTAGATAGTCAAAAATCCTTCCAAGTGAAAGGCACAGCTCACAGTGCTGCACCATCTCACTATCTGGGTGACAGAACTACATACTTTCAGTCCAGAAACAAAGACCCTTTTCCACGCCCCTTTGCGTATGAGCATTTTGGCCCAGCCCCATTTTTATGACCATCGGCATTGGGGGGTGAGGCGGGCAGAAATACCGGCCCCCTTTTTTTTCCAGGAGGTACCTGTACCCCTTTAAGTTGGTCCCCACCTGGAGCAGGGTATTAAAAAAAAAAAAAAAAAATTGGGTCCGCAGGACCCGACCCCACACCTTCAGATCCGCAAACTTCTAGCCGTACCACCGGCTTAGTCAAAATATGGGGGAAAACAAGGTAATTTTGGCCAGAAAAAAATAAATTAAAGTTTAAACAGTTACTGTATTCCACAAATTTTTTTTTTTAAAAAATCGGCCTTTCCCCTTTTAACTGTCCAAGTTTTTACCCCAAGATATCGAAAAACTTTTTTTTAAAACCTCATTTAATCATCATCAATCAAACAATCCCATTTAATCCGTGCGGTCTCCACAAGTTTGGCTGATGGACCTTCAAAAAAACTTTTTGTTTGGGGTTTCCTTTTCCCACTGCTTTCTCCTTTCTTTATACGGGCCTCCACTGTATTTGTCTACCTCTTGTTCTCTTGCCATTCAACCTTTTCCATCAGTAGGGAGGTGTTTTTTCTAATAATTTATACACAGTATTTGTCCCAGGTCTCACTCCTGTGCACAGGATCACCGATTTTATAATGCACACACCCAAGTCAGTACAACGAACAACAAGGTCTTTCTGCCGGAGCTTACGGCTAGTGAACAAACAAGAAGAGAATGAGTACAATCTTTAGGAGATCAAACAGATCTGTCGATGGAGCTTAAGAGTTCGTTCACTTGGAGACTTTATCGGCCAATATCACAGCCACTGAAAGTAAAGAGAACCATATGTGTGTGTGTGTGTGTGTGTGTGTGTGTGTGTTTGTGTGTGTGTGTGGTCTTATTCAAAAAAGCTTCATCATCTACGATGATGTTCTTTGCAGAAGGTCGATCCGGTCACAACAGGTCTGAAAGTTGTTTTTCCCTAGCCAATCCTCCAACCCTATGTGTTTTCATAGCCAATGCATCTTCCGTGTCTTGTACCAACTTAAGAGAAGATCTGGCGCTGTATGGTTTATCAGAACCGACATCACAGTCCCCTCCATACCACCGTAACGTTTAACGTTACCAAAACACGCCAGCTTCTGGGACAGGATGCTGTGTATGAGCAAGTTCTCCCCGATGCTCAGATCATGTAGTATGTAGGTGTTTTTCCTCTTTTTAATCCAAGCTATTCTAAGTGATTTTTCTTGCGGCTTTTCAGTTCAAAAGCTCCGATTTTGTTTTCTTTAGTACTTTCCCTGTAACAACATATGGACGTGAGTCGTGGACAATCTCCTAGTCCTTGAGAAAGAAAATAGGATCTTTTGAGCTGAAATGCTATAGAAAGATTCTCACAATACCATGGACAAAGAAAAAAAAAAGAATAAGTACTGACATTTGTAAAGATCTAAACATCACGGAAGATTGGCTAATAAACAGCATCTTGTCTCGGAAGGTGAAATATTTTGGTCATATCAAGCGCCATGGCAGACTTGAAAAAAAAATATAATAACAGTAAGCATGGTACCAGGAAGGAGGGGCAGGGGCCGACTAACTCGAAGATGGGCACATGATACAACTGAGTCCTTGAATATGAAAGTGCATGAGGCGGGAGAGCTGGCGAGAGACCGAGTTTCGTTCAGGCGGACCGAGATGAGAGCGACGTTCTGCAGAGGACCTGCTACATGATGATGACATCATTCAGCTGCCCCAGAAGAGATGCATGATCTCACAATTATTATTTTAATTCATTTGCAGGCGCTGTGCTGTGTGTTCTTCACTCTGTTTAGTCTCTGCATTGCTTAAGCAAATCATTTTTTTCTTTCCGTTTTATTATGTGCATTCGCAATTGTTGTTTAATAGTGAGACAATATATTCAACATCTGTCTCTTCGTCATCGATTTCAATACGTGGCTATCCCCGTGTGGGTTCGTGGGACCTATTATAGGGAAAACAAGAATAGACCCACTGCCTACCCAGAAGCATGTCGTAAGAGTCGACTTATTGGGAGCTTCCTTCGAAGTCGGAGTGCATCTGCCTGAACCAGGAAGGAACCAACAGTCTGCACACAAATGAGTAAGATCTGTCAAACGGATGCACACGCAACACTCAGGTTTTGGAACAGGTCTGCAGTCCAGAAGTAGACGAACAACCAGAACTTTCCGCCAGAATTTACAGCTGGTGACCGCGAAAAAGAAGAATACGTGGCTAATGTGCTATATTCATTACAGACATTTTTTTAAATGTTTCTTTTTCATCAGTTAGTTGTTTTATTTAATTTTTTTTCCTCAGGCTATGCATATAATTGGAACCATAAGGTATCAAAGAACGAGCGGAAGTGGGCGGGCGACAACTCAGAACAACATCAATGAAAACAACAACAGTTCCGAACCAACACCCTTTGGTTTTGTGGGCATGGCTATAGCTTTACCTCCCCCGACCATCACAGAGATGCGTCTGGAGTTAGATACATTTATTACAAGAATGAGTCCGGACTTCAAGGTCATCTATTGTGAACCTGTGTGAGTGAATTAAAAATTTACAAAGTTTGGTTTCATTTAATCTCTCCAGCACTACATGATTAGTTATGTCTTCTTCTTCTTGTTCTTCTTGTAGTCGGCGTGTCATTGGTAACCATACCGATCCACAACCTTGTATCGTATAATTTTAATCAATTCTCACACAGATGATCCTGCATGCCATGATGTCACACTGTCCAACATCTCTTCTCTCGGTCTCTCTGTGCCTCTCCTCCCTTCCAACTCTTCCACTGTCACAGTGTACTCCAGTTTTCTCCTTCTCATGACAAGAATAACGAATGTAGATCTCTCTTTTTGATGTTGGCAGTGAGTTCTCTTCATGAGTTAGTTTCTTTGATGACATCTTCGTTAATCTTTTTATCTGTCCAGGGCATTCTCATGATTGGTCTGTAGAACCATATCTCCGTGGCTTGCATAATCACGTATGTAACATTGTAGTGGCTCGTTATGTCTTTGCGTTGCTAAAACACAAATCGTCACGTTCAACCGGCATCCGCGAAGGAGGAGCTTTAGGTTATAATTGTGATTAGGTTATTTGTGCCAGATAACATGCCTTAGCACTCCACGCCACCGAGGATTCCTGCAGTTTTGATGCGATCATATGAGACAGACTCAAATACTGTTCCGACCGGCGACGAAGCCGTCTACCGGCCAGCCAATGGACAGCCCGGTCGCCAAAGTGATTGTTGTGTTTTGACTGTTAACTAGATACAACAGCAGCGAATTCAATACTGAAGACTCAAAACTTTGCCATTCTGGTTATGCAAACATAGAATACTGAATGTCGTAAGAGTCGATTAATTATGAGCTTATTTCGAAGTCGGAGTGCATCTGCCTGAGATGCAAGGAACCAGCAGTCTGCAGACAAATGAGCAAGATCTGTAAAACGGATGCACAGCAACACTCAAGTTCTGAAACAGGACTGCAGTACAGAAGTGGACGAACAACCAGAACTTCCCGCCAGAGTATACAGCAGGTGAACGCGAAGAAGAAACAGAAGAAGAAGAAGAAGAAGAAGAAGAACAAGAAGAACAAGAACAAGAAGAAGAAGAAGAAGACTGAACGTGTGCCTAAAGACACTCTTTCTACTTACAGCTGGAAGACCCCATGTCTAGCCAGTCAGCAAATCCAACTTTGTAGATCAGTGGAGGATTTGCGTCGCAAAACAGTCTTCATAAAGGCACGTGGCCTTCTCATCTAAAAACCTACAAGTGTGGCGTCTTGAAATGTTCGTTTAAAGGTTCATGTGACTGTGAGACTGAACACCAGCGCCGAGAAGGCAAGGAGCATCTACCACGTTAATGAAAGGGTCGCTGCGACAATTGCAATTGTACTTCTGGATATGATTCAGAAGACGTGAAAGAAGATTGAATACCGCTTGGACGTCATTCGTACTACAGATAGCGTCTTTATCCAAGTGTACACTGTAAAGAGTCGGTTCTGTGGCTAAGTCGATGCGAACGCTTCGTAATGCCGGGATCCCAGGTTCGATCCCAGCTGCGGGCCACACGCCTTGCGTTGGTTTCGACAGTGGTATCAAGAAAGCCGACCGCCCAGAAAGAAATGGCAAACTACTGAATGTAAACCTGCCTAGATAAACTTCACAACAGCCAGGGGCTGTTAGAGTTGGTTCTGTAACGTCCTGTAAAGGATACGCAGCTAACCTTTAACGCTGTAAAGGACCCTTTTCCACTCCAGTAGGCATATTAGCATCTAGAGCTAGACCTGTAATTTATAGACCAGTCTGCACTTGGTGGCTGGTATGGTCAAAATAAAGCCGGTCACCTTTACTTTCCAGCACTTTACCTGGTATTAATTTAAGACTGGGTCAACCTGACCTGGACACCAATGTCATTTTTTAAGGAAAAAAAAAAAAAATAGTCTGGCTCAGTCAGGACTCAAACCCACGATCTTCCGGTCCGCAGGCGAGCGTACAGAGTTTCTCAAACTGGGCGCCGTGGCGCCTTGGAGTGCAACGAGTGTATGCCAGGGGTGCCGTGGCGGTAATCAAGAAAAGTCGGCTTAACATTCTGAAATTACTGAAGAAGGCATGTAAATTCTTAAGAGTTAAAGTTTAAGTTCTCGTCATTCACCGCATTTGAAAAGAGTTTCATACTGTATAAAATGCCAAACGTTAACGTAATACGCTAACTGTCATAGAAGTGTTGCTAACGGCTGTTTGGTTCCGTCTAAATTACAGGGACATCCGGAATGCAGTCATTGTGATTTATTACATAAAGGTTCAGAAACATTCAAACGCCGATCTTTGTCTTTTCAGACAGGGTCATCCATGATGGAGATAATCTCTTAAAAATAAAATAAAAACAGAATATAATGCAAAATGCATCCACACAGTTTCATTCATCACATTAAATACAACTGAATTTTAAATATTCACTTTTTACAATATTTCCGTAATGATTTAACCGCTTTAATGGTAAGTGAGCCGCGAATTTTTTTTTAGCCCGACGATGGTGCCGCGGCTAAAAATATTTAAGAACCGACTGACTGACTGACTTTCTACCCCACCAGGACATCACACAAGCGATAAACACCCGATGGCACAAAGTGCCACCATGCGGATGAGGATCACCGTGGAGAGGTCCCAGAAACCGCGTTCAGACATTTGGCCATAATGATGACCTGCCTATATTGCGGCCCCTGGCAAAAGCCAGAGTGGGGCTTCAAATAACAAAAAATAACGTCCTAAGAAGGACGTAAGGAATGATTTAAGAACCGCTAGTCAAGTGCACAAAGGTAAATCTAAAACTGGACACGTTTCTGAACAACTAAAAACCCTATGCACATATATCTATTACGTAATTTTTTTTTTCTAAAAAACAGTTTAAAATCCAGACGATCTTTCTCGATGACCCCGGTGTGTTCACATCTCAGGGGATAACGAAACGTGCTTTCTGTCTCAACAGGATTTCAGAACTTGTGGACCTCACGGCTGAGGATGTCACGGGCAGGCTGCTTTACGACCTGTGTCACGTGGAGGATCTCCGGAAGTTGAGAACGTCCCATCTCGACAGTACGTAACAATTTCTGTTTTTCTATTGTGTATCCTGTCCTGTGGGAGTCCCCGTGGCGGAGCGGCTAGAAGCTCGTTGCGGATCGGAAGGTTGTGGGTTCGCTCCTTGGAAGAGCCTGACTTTTTTCAAAAATGACCTTGGCTCCCAGGTCGACCCAGCCTTGAGTGGGTATCGGGTGCAGTCCCGGGAAGTAGAGGCGGCCGGCGTGATGCTGACATCATCCATCTTGTACCGATTATTAAGTAAAAAAGTAAAAGTAAGTAAAAAGTAAAGATCCCTTAGGCGCATCGGGCATATGGGAAGAGCACCCATATTTTTACAGACCAATCAGCACTCGGTGGGTAATGTGGTCAGCATTACGCCGGCCGTCTTTACTTTCACAGGACAGCCCATCCTGGTACCCATTTGAGGCTGGGTTGACCTGCGACGTCCCATACCACGATAAAAATCCACGCAGCCCACACAGGTTTCGATCGCGGTACGTTGATTTAGAGACAGACTCGCAACGCATTAGCCACGGACACCGCATTCCGATTATTAGTCTTTAAAAATATAGGTCTAGCCCTATATTCCCTATACGCCTAAAGACGTGGAAAAGGTCATTTACTGTTACTACTTTATCCGGTCCTTTCTGTAGCTCTCTGTGCCCTAAAGTTTACTAAACGTATTTCCTAGATTTATCAGGGTTTGAATTTCTCGACTGTTGAATGTTGAATAAAGAATGGATACCACGGCACTCGGGACACTCCTATAAAGCCTAACCCCAGATTAGATGGCAGAGTTGGTAGATCAGGGAAGATTTATTTGGAAGCTGCGAAGATGTGGTTTTGTAGACGAATAATGAGAATACCCTGGACAGATAAAAAAGAGTAATGATGTCTTGAAAGAAACTGACTCACAAGGAGAACTGATTGCCAACATCAGAAAAAGACAGTCTTCATTCTTTGGTCATGTCATGAGAATGAGAAAACAGGGGTACAGTAGAAAAGTTAGATGGGAGGAGCGGCAGAGGGAAACCGATAGAAAAGTGGACAGTATGACATCATGGCATGGAGGATCATCTGTGTCAGAGTTGACTGAAAATACACGAGACAGAAGGTTGTGGATAGACATGGCTACCAACGCCACACGGCATGGACTTCAAGAAGAAGACGAGGAAGATGGCAGCAGAGTGTGAAATCACTGTGACCTTCTAAATTAGCATGTCACTTAACATTCGCACATCAGGATAGAGCCTTAGTCTCGTTAGACCCCGGACAAGTGCCCGGCCACCACGCCCCCTCCCCTCCAGTTCGTTAAAGAGAACCCTGCTTGTGGCGTTTAGACAGTGGCACACCTCCGTATATTGTGTGTCCAAAGTTAGCACATAAACAATGTATGAAATTAAATATAGAGAGTGCAGAAAGTGTGTTATTATCATTATTTTCCCCACGCCACTACTGCTACAACAACAACAACAACNGCCAGTCGGGGTCTTGAAACCATACCGATCCCACCTTGATCGATACCTTAAAATCTTTTCTGCAGGGATGTCCTCCATGCCATGATGTAAAACTTCCGCTCTGTTCTCTGGGTCTCTTTTCCCTTCCTCCCCCCCAAAACCTTTTCCACTGTCCAGTGTACTCCAGTTTTCCCTTTCCTGAAAAGCCCACGAATGTGATCGTCTTTTTTGATTTGGCTTGAGTTTCTTCTATTAGTTTTTTGAATCTTCGAAATCTTTTATCTCTCCAGGGTATTCTCATGTTTGGGTCTGAAACCCAATTTTTCCCGTGGCTTCATTAAACGTATGTCTTGTGTGGCTCGTTAATGTCTTTGCTTTGGGCTAAAACAAAAAAATCGTCACTTCCCCGATCCGCGAAGGGGGACTTTGGGTTTTAAATTGTGATTAGGTTTTTGTCCCAATAATCCCTTGCCCCCCCGCCACAAGATTCCGCATTGTTATTTCCCCGCATTTACCTGGTAACCGCATTTGAAAAGAGTTTCATACTGTATAAAATGCCAAACGTTAACGTAATACGTTAATTGTCATAGAAGTGTTGCTAACGGCTGTTTGGTTCCGTCTAAATTACAGGGACATCTGGAATGCAGTCATTGTGATTTATATATCCCTGTGTGGGTTCCGGGGTCCTATTTTAGGGAAAACAAGAACAGACCCACTGCCTACCAAAAAGCAAGTCGTAAGAGTCATCTAATTGGGGAGCTTCCTTTGAAGTCGGAGTGCATCTGCCTGAGAGGCAAGGAACCAACAGTCTGCATACAAATTATTCAGATCTGTCAAACGGATGCACACGCAACACTCGGGTTCTGGAACAGGACTGCAGTCCAGAAGTAGATGAACAGCTAGAACTTTCCGCCAGAGTTTACAGCTGGTGAACCCGAAGCAGAAGAAGATGAATTGTAATTATTACATAAAGGTTCTGAAACCTTCAAACGCCGAGCTGATGGAGATAATCTCTTAAAAATGAAAATAAAAACAGAATATAATGCAAAATGCATCCACACAGTTTCATTCATCACATTAAATACAACTGAATTTTAAATATTTACTTTTTACAATATTTCCGTAAGGATTTAACCGCTTTAATGGTAAGTGAGCCGCGAATTTTTTTTTTTAGCCCGACGATGGTGCCGCTGCTAAAAAGATTTAAGAACCGCTAGTCTAGTGCAAAAAGGTAAATCTAAAACTGGACACGTTTCTGAACAACTAAAAACCCTATGTACATATATCTATTACGTAATTTTTTTTTCTTCTAAAAACAGTTTAAAATCCAGACGATCTTTCTCGATGACCCCGGTGTGTTCACATCTCAGGGGATAACGAAACGTGCTTTCTGTCTCAACAGGATTTCAGAACTTGTGGACCTCACGGCTGAGGATGTCACGGGCAGGCTGCTTTACGACCTGTGTCACGTGGAGGATCTCCGGAAGTTGAGAACGTCCCATCTCGACAGTACGTAACAATTTCTGTTTTTCTATTGTGTATCCTGTCCTGTGGGAGTCCCCGTGGCGGAGCGGCTAGAAGCTCGTTGCGGATCGGAAGGTTGTGGGTTCGCTCCTTGGAAGAGCCTGACTTTTTTCAAAAATGACCTTGGCTCCCAGGTCGACCCAGCCTTGAGTGGGTACCAGGTGCAGTGCCGGGAAGAAGAGGCGGCCGGCGTGATGCTGACTACATCATCCATCTTGTACCGATTATTAAGTAAAAAAGTAAAGTAAGTAAAAAGTAAAGATCCCTTTACACACCCTTAGGCGCATCGGGCATATGGGAAGAGCACCCATATTTTTTACAGACCAATCAGCACTCGGTGGGTAATGTGGTCAGCATTACGCCGGCCGTCTTTACTTTCCCAGGACAGCCCATCCTGGTACCCATTTGAGGCTGGGTCGTCCAGCGACGTCCGATACCACGATAAAAATCCACGCAGCCCACACAGGTTTCGATCGCGGTACGTTGATTTAGAGTCAGACTCGCAACGCCTTAGCCACGGACGCCGCATACCGATTATTAGTCTTTAAAAATATAGGTCTAGCCCTATATGCCCTATACGCCTAAAGACGTTGAAAAGGTCCTTTACTGTTACTACTTTATCCGGTCCTTTCTGTAGCTCTCTGTGCCCTAGAGTTTACTAAACGTATTTCCTAGATTTATCAGGGTTTGAATTTCTCGACTGTTGAATGTTGAATTAAGAATGGATACCACGGCACTCGGGACACTCCTATAAAGCCTAACCCCAGATTAGATGGCAGAGTTGGTAGATCAGGGAAGATTTATTTGGAAGCTGCGAAGATGTGGTTTTGTAGACGAATAATGAGAATACCCTGGACAGATAAAAAGAGTAATGAGGATGTTTTGAAATAAACTGACTCACAAGGAGAACTTCTTCTTCTTCTTCTTCGCGTTCACCAGCTGTAAACTCTGGCGAAAGGTTCTGGTTGCTCGTCCACTACTGAACTGCAGTCCTGCTCCAGAACCTGGGTGTTGCGTGTGCATCAGTTTTACAGATCTCATTCTCTTGAATAAACTGATTGCAAACATCAGAAAAAGACAGGTCTTCATTCTTTGGTCATGTCATGAGAATGAGAAAACAGGGATACAGTAGAAAAGTTGGATGGGAGGAGAGGCAGAGGTAAACCGATAGAAAATGGACAGTATGACATCATGGCACGGAGGATCATCTGTGTCAGAGTTGACTGAAAGTGCACGAGACAGTAGGTTGTGGATAGACATGGCTACCTACGCCACACGGCATGGACTTCGAAAAGAAGACGAGGAAAATGGCAGCAGAGTGTGAAATCACTGTTACCTTCTAAATTAGCATGTCACTTAACATTCGCACATCAAGATAGAGAGAACCTTAGTCTCGTGGGACCCCGGACAAGTGCCCGGCCACAACGCCCCCTCCCCTCCAGTTCGTTAAAGAGAACCTTGCTTGTGGCGTTTAGACAGTGGCACACCTCAGTATATTGTGTGTCCAAAGTTGGCACTTAAACAATGTATGAAATTTAGATATGGAGAGGGAGAAAGTGTGTTATTATCATTATTGTTTCCCCGCCACTAGTGCTACAACAACAACAACAACAACAACAACAACAACAACAACAACAACAACAACAACAACAACAACAACAACAACAACAACAACAACAACAACAACAACAACAACAACAACAACAACAACAACAACAACAACAACAACAACAACAACAACAACAACAACAACAACAACAACAACAACAACAACAACAACAACAACAACTACTACTACTACTACTACTACTACTACTACTACTACTACTACTACTACTACTACTACTACTACTACTACTACTACTACTACTACTACTACTACTACTACTACTACTACTACTACTACTACTACTACTACTACTACTACTACTACTACTACTACTACTAATACTACTGCTGATGCTGCTACTACTAGTATTACTACTACTACAACTACTACTACCACCACCACTACCACTACTATTACTACTACTACTACTACTACTACTACTACTACTACTACTACTACTACTACTACTACTACTACTACTACTACTACTACTACTACTACTACTACTACTACTACTACTACTACTACTACTACTAACACTACTACTACTACTACAACAACATCTACTACTACTACTACTACTACTACTACTACTACTACTACTACTAATACTACTACTACTGCTACTACAACTACTACTACAACAACTACTACTACTACTACTACTACTACTACTACTACTGCTACTACAACTACTACTACAACAACTACTACTATTTCTACCACTACAACAACTACTACTAACTAACTAATCCCTTTCAGCCGTTAGGCCATATTTATAGGGCACGAACAGAAGCCAGGGTGGGGCTTTAAAAAATAAAACATTGGCACACCACATGGAGACGTCTTTATAAAGATTTCATACAATTACTACGGTTTACGGGTGGGGGGGGGGGGGGGGGGGCTTTTAGTTATAATTCTGACTAGGTTTATATGCGCCATAATATATAAGTCATCCCCCAGATGACGTCACTGGGACAGTCCAATTTTGTATAGGGTGGTAAGACCAGGTATCCCCCTTTGGTGGTGCTGTTAACTACGGCAAAACATCTAGAACTGGACCTAACCCCAACCCTGGCTAAGCATTGCTCTCCACCAAGTAGCCATAGGAAGAACTCCTGCAGTGATAATGTGATCAGAGGAGACAGACCCAAATACTGTCCCGACCGGTGACGAAGTCGTCTACCGACCACCTGCGACGCTGTCTTCGACGATCACTATAGTTTTCTAATTGTATATTTTTTCAGTATTAAACAAAGGGCAAGCACTCACGGAATACTATCGGTTGATAAACCGACGCGGTGGTCACACTTGGATCCAGACGTGCGCGACCACGTTGCTGGGCAGCAAAAACCCTGAGGATGAAAACATACTGGCAATCAATTTTGTGGTCAGGTAGGTAGGGCTGGATTGTTGGCAATGTCAGCTAGGATTTCTTTATTATGAGTACGTGTGCGTGCATGTGTATGTTTGAGTGTGTAATTGGGTTCTTTATTATATCCTACCCCCCCCCCAGATGACGTCACAGGACAGTCCAACATTTTAGAGGATAGTAAAGACTAGATTTCCCGGCTTTTTTGATGCCTTTAACAACTCCAAAACATCTAGAACTGACCCTAACTCCAACCCACCTACGTCCCACAAGAGAGTGAAGCCCAAGTCCCAGTACTGCATGCAGCCTGGTCCCACGACTGCATGCAGCCTATCTACCACCGCTTGAAATATTAGACTGTCCCCTGACCTTTGGATTTCCCCTGTTTAGGGTAGGATGTTAATAAAGCACCTGTAATTGTGTTTGTATGTGTCTGATAATCTTAGTTCCAACTTCATAGAAAACGGGTCACCCCATAGTTGTGTCAGAGATCTACTTTATTATCTACTCACTCTGGCTCATTGGGTAGGCCAACTAACAGACTTAACTACCCTAGAACACACCCCTACGGAGTACACATATAATCTTTAATGTACAAGCATCAATGGAATGGACGTTCCTTGATCCGAAACGCCGGCGGTGTTAGCTTTTATATTCACTAATCCACTGTGAGCCGTTCCCATATATATCACAAGGACTCGATTCCACCTCACCGTCGTACAGCGCTAACTAAGCTGCCGTCCTCGCCACGCGAGACTCAGTGGTACGCATAAGCTAAGTGATTTAAGTGTGAGTGGGCAGTGTCAACGCCACCAAAAATGCATGTCAACATTAACTACCTGCTAACAGATTCTGCATGAAAAGTACCACTACGCAAGGAACATTACAGATGAACACTCTTGTCAGAACACCGTATTAAAACACAACATATCTCAAGCCTAACCAGAAATACTTTTTTTTTTGCTAATCGTCACTAATACAAACTATGCTAAGCGTTTCAAATAAAAGATACATTTATAGTCGCAGTCCCACAACCGTCCAGTACAAGTTTACACACGTGTCTCTCCCGAACATCTCTGTCCAAGCCTTCTGTTCCTCTTCAGCGTTCATCTCTGACACGCTGTAACTCGTGTTACTAGTTAGGCGTATGGCTTAGCCCAACTCAGTCGACACAGTTTATTCCATGGTCAAACTGCCCGATCTCGCTCTGAGTTTGACTGAGGGTTAACTCGTTCATACGTGATGATCCACTATCATCACACCTACTCATCACGTAACCGAACTGACCTCTGACAGTTGCTCTGCTCATATACCACCGTAGAACACGCAAAACTTCATTTTCTGTCCCTTGTGGAAGAATTGACACAGACTGCAGTCTCGGTATTTCCACTAGCATACACACGCATTAAGTGCATAAGTCAGCTATCAGAAGTGCTAACACAAGCACTCCGCCATTAGAAATGCAGTTCATCATTGACGGCAGCAGCAGTTATAAATGAATAAGCAGCTGCACAGCTATAGGGCTAGACCTATATTTTATAGACCGATCGGCACTCGGTAGGTGATGTCGGCCGCCTTTACTTCCCATGACTCTACCGGGAACCTACTTTAGTCGGTGTCTACCTAGGAAACAACGTAACTTTACAGGTTAAAGGTTAAAGTCAAGAGGATAGATTTTATTGCATCGGAATGTATCCCATATAGCAGCCAGACACCTGCCAAGAGCGTTGCAAAGAGTACGAATACCGTAGTTCCTTCGAAAATCCCCAGGTATTGCTGCACTGCAGGTTACCTCGCAATTAGTCAGGTGGTCAAACAAGGTCTGCCGGTGTCTCTCTGCCAAATGCCAAATTCTAACAACTTTCCGCAAGCTTGTCACTCTGATCAAGAAGGTAGGCGGGTAATTTGCTACCGCAGCGACGAATATATAACACCAAATCTCACGATACCCGTTGCAAAGTCACCATATCGTCTTGTCCCTGTCTGAGAGTCCGATAAAGTGCAGCAGGGAAAGATCGTGGCATGAGACATGACCCAGGTCGGCCCACCTTCCGAAATTGTCAAGGAGGTAATCTTTCTACTGATGCACTGTGCACCCCTGCTGTGCAAGCTCCCCTGTGGACTTAATCGGGGTTATTGGGGATTGGCCCAGATTCTCGTCTTTGAGATGTTAACTCCACAGACTGTAATCCTGGAGAGGAAGACACAAAAAGGTGACGATGTGATATATTTATATTATACAGAACAACTAACAATGATTGCCTGGAAATGGCTAATAAAAGGAGAACATTTTATACAACAATTAGAAGGAGACAAACAAAGTTCTTTAGTCGTGTGATGAGAAAAGTAGCACTGGAAAATATTGTGACGACTGGAAATATCACTGGTAGAAGAGGTAGAGGCAGACCAAGAGAAATAATGATGGGTGTCTTAAGACGGTGGCATTGTTGAGTATCATCGTGGAATTGATCCAGCACACTGAAGACTGGGGTCTGTGTCAAGGCAGTCGATATATATATATATATATATATATATATATATATATATATATATATATATATATATATATATATATATATATATATATTATATATATATATATATATATATATATAAACTCTATTCGGATTCGATCCCATTTCCTGACACCGGCAGGTAAAAGTCTGGCTTTTACGGCTTCCATGCTGTTTTTTTGTGTGTTTTATAACTGTTTTAGCCCAATCAGTCAAAGCTGTCTGAAACCAAAGAGGATTTATCACAAATCATTTTAATTCCTTCGAAGTCGGAGGACGTCTGCATAAGAAACAAGAAACCAGTAGTCTGCATACAAATAAGCCAGATCTGCAAAACGAATGTGCACGCAACACTCGGGTTCTGGAACAAGTCCCTAGTCCGGAGGTGGACGAACCCTCAGAACTTTCCCCCGGAGTTTAAAGCTGGTGAGAGCGAAGATGAAGAAGATAATATTTTGATCACATCAATGGAACCTCCTCCGCCTGTCTGCGTATATAAATTATATCCTTTTGTTTCAAAACAGTGACTCCAACCTTACGGACTGCGCCATGGATTTGTGGCAAGTCACAGGTGACGTGAGCTCATCCATGAGCAGCAGCTCCAACAGTCCTTGTCGTCAGGAAAAGCTGAAAGGTAAGGTCATCAGCTCTTCTGGTCCCAGTAAACGTATGAAGTGTCATTTTTCTATTCTCATTGAATTCATACACAGGCAATGAATAGGCCATTAGAACATTAAAAAAACTACATGTGAAATGCGCTATCTCCGCCAGCCACTAACAACACAAGAAGAGACCGCGTACGAATACCAGCATTAGAGAGAAAGTTGGAATAAGAACATGTCTGAACTGTATTGACAGACGAAATATGAAATGGTTCGACCTTCTAGTGAGAATGCGGCCAGGCTTAACTGCATATGAGACTTTTTTGCACAGGACGTCTATGGGTAAAGCTAGAGGAAGACCAAGAAAGATATGGATAAATGGTGTAGCCCAAACCTGCACTAGAATAAACAAATCTATCATTCAAGCTACCCGAAAAGCTCAAGACAAATACAGAAACCACGGACCTCGGCTACAACCTGATATCAGTGAGACGACAAAACCACGATACTGGGCTACAACCTGATATCAGTGAGACGACAAAACCACGATACTGGGCTACAACCTGGTATCAGTGAGACGAGAAAACCACAACACTGGACTTCAACATGGTATTAGTGAGACGACACAACCACGGGCCTGGGCTACAACCTAATATCAGTGAGACGACAAAACCACGATACTGGGCTACAACCTGGTATCAATGAGACGAAAAAAACCACGATACTGGGCTACAACCTGGTATCAGTGAGACGACAAAACCACGACACTGTGCTACAACTGGTATCAGTGAGACGACAAAACCACGACACTGGGCTGCAACTGGTATCAGTGAGACGACAAAACCACGACACTGGGCTGCAACTGGTATCAGTGAGACGACAAAACCACGACACTGGGCTGCAACTGGTATCAGTGAGACGACAAAACCACGACACTGGGCTGCAACTGGTATCAGTGAGACGACAAAACCACGACACTGGGCTACAGCCTGGTATCAGTGAGAAGACAAAACCACGACACTGGGCTGCAACTGGTATCAGTGAGAAGACGCAACCACGGACCTGGGCTACAACCTTTTATCAGTGAGACGACAAAACCACGACACTGGGCTGCAACTGGTTTCAATGAGACGACAAAACCACGACACTGGGCTGCAACTGGTATCAGTGAAACGACAAAACTACGACACTGTGCTGCAACTGGTATCAGTGAGACGACAAAAGAAGGAGATATTGAATTCAAACGGTACCAAAATATGCCGACTAAACATTTACCCAAAAATAACAATAAATGGTGAAGAAATTGAAAATGTCACAAACTTTCAATATCTAGGCTCTATAATAAACAGCAACGGAGACTGTTTGACAAAAATTAAAAGGGGGATGGATGGACATAGCAATGCAAAGATTAAACAGCCTAAATGTCTATTGTTGAGCACCAGCAAGGAGATCAAAATTAGAGCATGCATCTTCCCTGTAGCAACATACGGATGCGAGTCGTGGACTATCTCCCAGTCCTTAAGAAAGAGAATACGAGCTTTTGAGCTGAAATGCTATAGAAAGATTCTCAGAATATCTTGGACGAAAAAGATGAGAAATACTGACACCTTGAAAGATCTGAACATCAAGGAAGATTGGCTAAAAAACAGCATCCTTTCACGAAAGCTGAAATATTTGGTCATATCAAGCGATAGGAAAAAAAATTATAGCAGAAGGCATGGTACCAGGAAGGAGAGGCAGGGGCCGACCAAAACAAAGATGTGAATAGGATATAAGTGACTCCTTGAGAATGAAAGCACATGAGGCGGGAGAACTGGCGAGAGACCGAGTTTCTTTCAGGCAGACTGTGATGAGAGCGACGTCCTGCAAGGGACCTGCTACATGAGGATGATGATGACCATTTACTTCAGTCACAGCTCCTCATTACCGGTCCCTTTTCACTGTATACCATTGCTCTTTCTCATTTCTTTAATGTCTAGATTCCTTCTTTTGGAAATCTGCTACATGTCCATCTGGTGCCAAGGGAGCTCACTAGGTCAGAATTTGTTTTTTTTCTGAATGCCATTTCAATAGTTGAGATGAATTCTGTCCCTTTTTTCATAGTTGTGGATTTCAAGCTTACGATAGACATGGCCAATAAGACACCCTTTTTTGGGGTGCCTAGTTGACCATATTCTTAGTGCACTTGTATCCATAGCGAGGCAAACACGCCGTCTGAAGGTGACAGGTTAAATTCCCGGTACGGTAACTATAGCTTTCGATTTTTTTTTTAATCTAGTGTGATCTTCTATCTTTGTACTTCTTTCTATGAGTGCAATACATTTTCTTTTACTTTATTAATGTATAATTTTTCTTATGGATCATCAATGTAAGAAACGTGTAAGTACAGGACATTTTTTTACGACAATTTTTTATTGAGTATATGGCAAGACCCCTACGCCCTTGAGTATATGGCAAACCCTCACGGCCCCCTTGAGTATATGGCAAGACCCCTACGCCCCCTTGAGTATATGGCAAGACCCTTACGCCCCCTTGAGTATATGGCAAGACCCCTACGCCCCCTTGAGTATATGGCAAACCCTCACGGCCCCCTTGAGTATATGGCAAGACCCCTACGCCCCCTTGAGTATATGGCAAACCCTCACGGCCCCCTTGAGTATATGGCAAGACCCCTACGCCCCCTTGAGTATATGGCAAGACCCTTACGCCCCCTTGAGTATATGGCAAGATCCCTACGCCCCCTTGAGTATATGGCAAACCCTCGTGGCCCCCTTGAGTATATGGCAAACGCTCACGGCCCCCTTGAGTATATGACAAGATCCCTACGCCCCCCTGAGTATATGGCGAGACCCCTACGCCCCCTTGAGTTTATGGCAAGACCTTTACGCCCCCTTGAGTATATGGCAAGACCCCTACGCCCCCTTGAGTATATGGCAAGACCCCCTACGCCCCCTTGAGTATATGGCAAACCTTCACGGCCCTCTTGAGTATATGGCAAACCCGCACGGCCCCTTGAGTATATGGCAAACCCTCACCACCCCTGGAGTATATGGCAAACCCTCACGACCCCCTTGAGTATATGGCAAACCCTCACGGCCCCCTTGAGTATATGGTAAACCCTCACGGCCCCTTGAGTATATGGCAAACCCTCACGGCTCCCTTGAGTATATGTCAAACTCTCACGGCCCCCTTGAGTATATGGCAAATCCTCAAGGCCCCTTTGAGTATATGGCAAACCCTCACGGCCCCCTTGAGTATATGGCAAACCCTTACGCCCCCTTGAGTATATGGCAAACCCTCACGGCCCCCTTGAGTATATGACAAACCCTCACGGCCCCTTGAGTATATGGCAAACCCTCACGGTCCCTTTGAGTATATGGCAAACCCTCATGGTCCCCTTAAGTATATGGCAAACCCTCACGGTCCCTTTGAGTATATGGCAAACCCTCACGGCCCCTTTGAGTATATGGCAAACCTTCACGGCCCCTTAAATATTTGGCAAGACCCCCATGCCCCTTTGAGTATTTGGCAAGGACACCCCCCCCCCCCCACCACTTTTCCACACCAACCCCTCCCTCCTTGATTATACGGCAAAACCCCAACGGTGCCCTAGAGTATATGGTGGGAATCTAACTCTTGTGCCCCCCTCCCACCCCTAACATAAAAAATGTGATTAAAAAGAGGAAAGTGGATTCCATAGCAAAGATAACAGAAAGTATGGAGGTACATTTTGGTCAGAATGTTTTCTGAATCTTCAATTAAAGGCGCGAGTTATTGTATTAATTAGATTGTTATTGTTAGATTTACAAACTGCTTATGGAGACTAAAGTGTCCTTGTCGGTTTGTTTAATTGAGAGTTTCAACGAATATTGTATTTATAATTAAGCTGAAACAAAATTTAATTTTAACGGATTATTACAGTACAAATGCAATTATTTTCAAAATTGCTTCCCGCTTCTTGAATCCTCCTTGTGCCCCCTTAGCGCATCGACACCCCCCCCCTCCCCACCCATCTTTGAAACCACTAATCTAGACGCTGGTGTGGCGTTGATAGTCAAGTCTCTTCACAACCTTCTGTCTCGTGTACTTCAATCATTTTTGACAGAGATGAATTGTCACGCCGTGATGTCAATATTTCCAGGATTTTCTGTCTCTGTCTTCGTATGCCTCTTTTCTCCTGCAACTTCCCCATCGTCATGAGGTACTCAAGTTTTTCTCCTCGTGGAATAGGAAAAAAAATGTAGATAGTCTCCTTCTAGTGTAGGCAATCAGTTCGATACGGTGAACTACACAAAAGACAATCTTCCCAAGGACATAGGAAGCTTTTTAAGGACACTCTAGAGATCTAACTGAAAATTGTTGGTCTTGATCCCGATATGTTTGAGGTCGCTGCCCACGACGGTTCATCATGACGCGCAACTTTTCTGCAGCAGCAGTTTAAAAAAGGCAAAGGTGAGCTGCATCCCCTAACCGATGTACTCCAAATCCCATGTCCACCCAATGGAAGAACTTTCCGAGCCATAATTGATCTTTTCAACAATGTAAGTGCGCATAAATCTTACTCTTCCTATCGGATGAAAACCCTTGTCACTGTCACTTGTAATGGTCAGGTATTCAGCAAATCTTTCTCAAGATTTTATTACCCTAACTCCGCGAGACTGAAACATATGTTAGTTAAAGTCACAATTTCATAACATATGACAAGTTTAACTGCCATCCACGTGGGACTCAAGATTTGATGCTTCGACATATTGTCAATTTTTGTTTTATTTTTTCAGAACTAAGAGCAAGTAAATCTGTAGAAGAGATCCAACAGAGATATAAGACACAAGCTGGTCATCCATCGTCCGCAAAAAGTACCCCACCACGTCCTGTCTCTTCACGAGATGAGGACTCAGGCATCAAGGATCGAGCATCTAGTACAGCAGTTCCTAACATCACAAAAGGAATCTTCCAAAGCAGACGTGGAGTTACTAACGATGAACCAGAAGGACCTTGGAAATTTCTATAATAAAAACAAACGACGCAAAATGGACAACCCTCGCAAACGAAGAAACAGTAGCTGTGATCGTCAAGATTCTAACCACGTCAAAGCCTTAAACTTAACAACAAATGGCTGCAGAGATCCAATTATAACAAAGTCGCTAAGCATGTCTACTCTGGCCTTGCAGAAGTCTGGCACTGTTGTGGACAGTAATAGTAAAACACACAGACCAGTCAACCCACTTAATGCGGATAGCACCACTTCAGCGTCCCCTGAGGATTTGTCGATAAAACGAACACATGCACGATCCCTAAGCCAAGCTGTAAATGAAGACTCCAGAGGTGATTACCTGGATATTCAGACAGCAGACGCTAGTGGGAACATCCAGCAACCTGTCACAGATATTCATGCCATTCATTCTACAAGTCCATTGTCTGTTACACGGAACACAGTCAGGGAACTTGAAGCAGCAATGCATCGTCACTTATCAGCAGCGTCCTTCCATCAGCAACAAAATAACTCAACAAGCATCACTTCTACCGACACAGGGAAATCTCCTCGAGGCATCTCTAATATAAACAGTTCGAGAGCTCCACCAAGTCACAAAGTGATGCCGACTCAGTGGCATACTTCTTCACGAGAAGGTCGTACTAACATTCTACCGGCTACAACCTTACTTCACAGCTTGTACAACAACAGAGAAACCGTCATCAAAACCAACTCCAAGTACCAACCCACATTCCTCAACATGGAAACCCCAACCAGTTTACTTACTCCTCCAGAACCCGATCCCACCATTTACAAGGATCATAGCAACCCTTTCTCGCATGCAAATCAAGATTCCTTTGGTCATAATTATATTTACGACAGGGAGACAAACCCAGAAGCCAAAGATTTGTCCAACAGAGACCATTATTCATTTATTTCATATAAAGATCACATTCCAACGTCATACTTAGATCACTTATCATCGTCATTGTGCAAAGATCATTTCGTTTCGCATTATAAAGAACTTTCGCATTTTAAAGAAATGTCGCATTATAAAGAACTTTCGCCTTACAAAGACATTCCTTCATTTACAATTCCTGGACTCATGAGTCCCTCAGGTCGAGCCCACCACACTTACCCTTCCTTTTACCCCCAACTAGCAAGTGCTCTAACATCCTCAACCACCGATGTCTGCAGTATGACCCCACCGTCGCCGAATTCCTCCAGACACCAGCAAACACACATCGGTCATTCACCATTTGGATTCGAACTATAACTCCACAGAACTGAACACTGTCTGCAACCCATCGCAGCTAACAGCAGCCACCATCTGCAGTATACCACCATTTTCCTCGTCTTCCATGCCAACACCATCTTCTCACCTTCTTGCCAGGCACCACCAAAGAGGTTTCATACATCAGAACATCCGCACAGATGACCCAGCAAGCGGGTATTATTACAGTTTATCAGTTCCCACTCCAGGTTCTTCCTACGTTGACTTAAGACCTATCAACACAGGGTCCACAGATTATGATCCTTCAGCAAGATCTGCTCTTCCGTGGTACTAGTCGATAATGAAACTTAGACACAATCGCATGAATATTTCTGTAAGTCACGGATCACTGGACCTCCACTTTCAGGGCATGCTTAACTAAGGAAAATAGCGAATCTGGATCGGGTTGGCAATTTTGGAAAAAAGTTCTTTATTTTTCACACCTAACTAAGTCTGCTGTCAGATACTTGTTTCTGTTAAAAACAATTCATGCAATATTTTTAATGAGCTAACCATAGTTGTAAAATTATCTATCTGGTTATTGAAAATTTGAAACTTCTCACGTTTCCAGGCCCATCTAAGTCAGCTCCGCCTAATTTACACACTCATGATTGACGGAGTCCGGCCAAAACACTGTGACTGGACGGTCAGTCTCGGTCTTAAGCTGTCAGACGGTCAAGTGTAAGTGGTAGGGGCTTCAGTTATCTCTCTTGTTTAAATAATGGAGTTCGGACTGGTACACGTTGTATTGCACTAGCTTTTCTGAGCGACTTCGTTTTTAGTATTAGTGTTTGTTGGTGGTTAAATAACAGCTGTCTAAGAATTTGCGTAGGAGATGAGTTTATTGCAGAGGGTAGAGCTCCGTGTCTGCATCAGGTGAGCGATGTGGGAGCCAACGCAAGCTGTTCAGAAGTCTAAAACCATGGCACGAAGGCACTGTCTCGTGGGACCTAGGTCAGTGTGTGGCGAATGGGGGGTTGAGGTTAGGGCCAGTTGTAGATGTTATATGGGTCGTTAAAAATCGCCCACTTGCTCTAATGTAGAGGTCGCGTGATAGGAAAGTGAGTTCTCGATGTTCTGAGGTCGTAAATGCGTGTCATAAATTAACCGACACAGCCTCGGCGACACCCCTTTAACCTTGACAGAAGGGGACTGGGCTGATCAAGTTTCAGTAAAATCTTGCGTAGTGAGTAAATGTGCCGAGTTGACCTAGGTGGGCCTGGAAAAGTGATAAGAACAAAATTTTTTACGAAATTGGCGATTGTCCGCACTTATCAACGTCATTTGCACAAGGAGATAACTGTGTTTGCAGTAACTGTTGTATCGTTACTACGTCCCCTACAGTGTTCGGCAGTGTTCGCGATTGTGGAATGTCCCTACCAGAATATTCCTAAGGGCAGCAATAGTTGCAGTGAATATAAACTGTGACAACCTTACTACCACAGTTACAAAGTTCAAGTAAGTTGAGTATCCTTTATAGGCCGTTGCAAAATCCAACCCTAGCATTGGCTGTTGTGCTTTTTCTAGGCAAGTAGTTGGTTGTTGCTTTCTGTATGATCGGCTTCTTGATACCACTGTCGAAACTAACGCGAGGAGCAAGGCCTGCAGCTGGGATCGAACCCAGCATCCTGGCATTACGAAGCGCGTACGCAAGGCCTAAGCCACAGACGCTGGCAGATACCTAGTTGGGGCATCAAAATAACTAGCCAGGCTTCAATACACTGGAACAACAATATTTGAAAATTAATCTGTTCATTTTGAGAGGACGAATACTAAAAATTACGAATATCACACACATTTTCCATTTCAGAAAATCTAAAAGGGTGTAATCCGTTTCAAGCAGCAAATTTGTGTGTATTTATTCTTTAACACAGCAGCGAGTGAGTAACGTTCAACTTCATCAGCACCACTCATCGAGCGATAAACACCCGGTGACACACAGCGTCACCATCCGGATGAGCATTGCCCCATAAACCCCCGTTCAACACGTATGTTATATTTAGGTCGCGAAGACAGCCGGGGTGAGGCTGTAAAATAATGCTATTTTTAAAATGCGTTTCATATCACGGCTGATTGTTATTCTTATTAACAACAAAACTCGAAAATCGATGTTAGGAACCATTTTAAATATATTTTACTTACATATTAACAACTGTACTTATTATTGATTCAGTTAGTCTACAACGAATTATCTTCTCACCTACACACCGTTCGCTGAGTATATATATATTTATATATATATATCATATATATATATATATATATATATATATATATATATATATATATATATATTTATATATATATCATCATAAACCACTTCTGCCGTTAAGCGTCGTGGGGAGGAATAATTTGCGATCCAGTGCACGTTGGCTGCCACTGGCTATTGTCATGCCGTGAAGGCGTAGAGTGTCTTTAATGTTGTCGATCCATATTTTCCGCGGCCGTCCTCTTGCTCTTGTAGTTGGTCTTCTGAGATGTAGTGCTTGTGATGATATTTGATCTTGCTGTATTCTAACAAGATGGCCAAACCAGTTGATCTGCTGTTTCTTGATGAATCTAGTACAAGGTGTCGTTCCCACAATTTGCCTGATAGTTTCATTATTCACTCGATCTCGTAATATCTATATAGAGAGAGAGAGAGCACATGCCATCAAGTACTCATTCATACTTATCTGCACACATTTGAAATTTGAACAACTGATCAACATCATGGCACACGGGTAGTAACCCATAAGTGCTCTGTTCTTTCTTCTAACTCAAGTCTGAGTCCAAAGAAACTCAGCACATACTCTGTAGCACCGGCGGGGATCCTGAAATACTTTGGGTAGATTTTTACTTCAAATGTTGCCCGGGCAGCGGCGCCGTTAGTCTACTTTTTTCGATTTCCAACTGCCAATGGAATTTTTTTTTTAACTTGCGCAACAATGCACACGGGCGTCCGATCTCACTACCCAGAGACCAAAGGGAATTACTAGCAAGTCCACGTGAACAAATCCTAGCCCTTACCAGGGATTGAACCTGGAACCTATAGAACTCGAGGCGGACACCATACCTCGAAACCACGCAGCCCCCTCATAAACTCCTAATTCGTCCTTATTTGCACATAAAATGGTACACGTAGCTGTATCCGATGTAGTAGTTACATGTGTCCTAGTTACATCTTTCCTAGAGACTGAACGAGGTATCTCGGATTTGCCTTGTTTGTTTATCATCGGTGATGTTGTTTCAAATAGCAATGATAGTCTAACCGTCATGCTGCTTGCAAGAGGGGTGAAAACAGACAGACAGACAGACAATATCCACGACAATAAAATTTATTTAACAGCAATTGTGTTTTTTTTTGTTTTCGATTCTCGGCGTGGTAAACTTTGCTTTCAAGTTTTTTTGTCGTTTACAGTGCCCTTCTTTCTTTCTGTTTCTTCCTGTAAGTGTCAGTCAGTGCCCGTCTTTTTGCCTATCATAAGTCCTGTTTCTACCACCTATATCTATCTATCTATGTCTCTATCTCTCTATCTCTCTCTCTATCTAATCTATCACTCTATCACTCTATCTCTCTATCTGTCTATCTGTCTATCTGTCTATCTGTCTATCTGTCTATCTGTCTGTCTGTCTGTCTGTCTGTCTGTCTGTCTGTCTGTCTGTCTGTCTGTCTGTCTGTCTGTCTGTCTGTCTGTCTGTCTGTCTGTCTGTCTGTCTGTCTGTCTGTCTGTCTGTCTGTCTGTCTGTCTGTCTGTCTGTCTTCTTGTACCCTACTAGGACGTCACACAAGCGACAAACACCCGATGACACAAAGTGCCACCATGTGGATGAGGATCCCACGGGAAGAGGTCCTGGAAACCGCTTTCAGCCATCAGGCCATATTTATGGCCAGGCTATATCGCGGCCGCGGCGTCCGTGGCTAAGGCGTTGCGAGTCCGACTCGTAAGCCAGCATACCGCGATCGAAACCCACTGCAGGCTGCGTGGATTTTTGTCGTGGTATGGGACGTCGCAGGTCGACCCAGCCTAAAATGGGTACCAGGATGAGCTGTCCTAGGAAAGTAAAGACAGCCGGCGTAATGCTGACCACATTACCCACAGAGTGCTGATGGTCTGTAAAAATATGGGACGCTCTGCCCATATGCCCGATGCGCCGAAAGGCGTGAAAAGGGAACTTTACTGTTTTTTTTAAACTTTTATATTGCGGCCCCTGGCAAGAGCCAGAGTAGGGCTTCAAATAACGAAGTCAACGTGAAAAATCCTCGCCTTTACCGGAGCTTGAGGCGAGAATCTCCAGCACTCGAGGCGGACATCATACCTCGAGACCACTCAGTCCCCCTTCTTGTATGTTATAACCATGAAAAAGATTTGCTCAATCATCTAAACAGAACAGGCCAGGTCGCAATTTTTCGCCCACGTACCGGACACTGCAGACTCAACTGTCATATAAATTAGGTATAGGTCAAACAGCTCTCTGTCAATGTCTTCTTTCTGAACAGACTTCAGAGCATGTCTTGCAAGACTATGCTCTTGTGGCGAAGATGTGAATCAATCAACATGTGGCTACGCCAAGAACCTCTCCTGGCGGTGCTGTGAATTAATCAATATGTGGCTACACCCAGTACCTCTCCTGGCGGTGCTGTGAATTAATCAATATTTGGCTACCTCCAGTACCTCTCCTGGCGGAGCTGTGAATCAATCAATATTTGGCTACACCTAGTACCTCTCCGGCGGAGCTGTGAATCAATCAACATGTGGCTACACCAGTACCTCTCCTGGCGAAGCTGTGAATCGATCAACATGTGGCTACACCCAGTACCTCCTCCGGCGGGGCTGTGAATCAATCAACATATGGCTACACCCAGTACCTCTCCTGACGGAGCTGTGAATCAATCAACATGTGGAAACCCAGTACCTCTCCTGACGGAGGAATCTATCAACATGCGGCCCCTACACCAGTACAGAGTCCTGTTTGAAGTTGACGAAAAATGCAATCCAACATGTGGCTAACCCAGTACCTTA